TAATGCACTTTTGATCTACATCTCCGGAACTCAAACTCGTCTTCTGTTAAAATAAATGGAGTGGACACATCTGTCACAGCAGAGCAGAAAGCGTATGTCCCGGCCAGCGCTCGCAGCATTGTTTGTCACTTTCTCCATGAAGTGCACTGCGAATATTGCCTCAAACAATTAGGTTCCAGAGATCCCTATCGCCCGGCACACAATAGTGTTTACATGAGGTGGAGGAAACGTGGCCATGGAGCCCAATTTGGGGAGTGTGTATGTTTTCTTGGGCATCGGCATGTGTGTGTAATGTCCTCACAATGTGTTTATACTAGAGATCTATGACTAAGTTCACACCGTAGTGTGTGAGGATGGTTTGACTTAAACTCCAGTTTTCCCCATCTTTAATGCAGGTTTGAAAGAAATGACATCTTTGATAATGATACGTTTCATAAGTATAAATTCTTGCTTACTATCTAGGTTTGGTATGACCAGCAGCTAATGGAGGAAGTTAGCTAAATTGAGAAGGTAGATGAAGGGATGCCTTTATAAAAGGGATGTTAAAAAGAACATGTTGATAAGCAGAAGTTAGTGCAATAAGCTTGGAAATAAATATAAGCTAAATGTTCCTTATCCAAGTTACCATAATGAATGAAAGCTACATCCTTATAAGAACCTGCCATCTTCCCCCTGCTCTTAATGGGCTCAGTCAACAGAGAGCAAGCATCACATCACAGTATCTTTGGGCACACATACACACCAATGATTGAACCAAATGTAAAATAATTTCATTATTTTCAGACAGTTACCTATCTTACTTTATCTGAACAGTACCCGTAAAGGAAAAATAATGCAAACCTATTTCTACTCTCCAAGAGATGGACATGAATATGGAATATTAATAATTAGGAAACAAAGACGTACATGTTTTCCATTGAAGACAAGTATGACTTTTTGGGCATTGATTCATTCAATAGAGGCATATTGAAGATGGAAAACACACTAATACGATTGATAAAACTGTCCATTAGCCAGCCTTTTAGTCGTAATTTGACAATACATTTCCACAGTTTATTCAAAAGATGCATTTATACCAACTCATGCTTGTATGGTGGAGCATGCAGTTACTATGAATGAGGAAGGTAAATACAAGTTGATGGTGCAATACAGCTAATAATTTACAATAGCTTCCTTTTTTTGGCTCTTCTGCTCCGTTTCCCTCTAAAATCCGCTCCGTCATGGTCTGCTATTGCTCAATTGTGTAGCTTTTGTGTCAGAGTTCTTAACATTCAGCTGCATACTCAACACTTATAAATGCAGCTTCCAGGCTTACATCATGCTAATGCTAAGATGCAAATGTACAGTATGATTATGTGCTTTTATCATTGAATGTCCTCTTCACTTTGGTTGCTGTACTACATTTTAACAGCTGGAACTTTCTTTAGATAGACAATAGGCCACAAGCTTTTCATTTTCCACTCGAAACCACGCATGCTTACTGGCCCAGAAAGAAGACCAATGGTAATACTGCAGGTGCAGAAACAACCTTGAGAAATACAGCCAACAAAAGAGAGACAGAACCTTTACATTTACTTTTACTGAAGTCTCTAAGGTATTTTAACAAATAGCCTGACCCTGACTTTCACGCTTGCACACACACAGGTCTCCCATCGATACTGCATATATTGAGCTGGGTATTTTGAGTCAGGCGGAAGGAGGGTGTGACGACCGGCCTCTGAGATTAAAACAATCCTCTCTTGATTTCTTACTCACTCAAGGGAAAAGCGAAAGCTGTCTGTTATCGTTTGTTTCTATTATTATTCCCTGTTTACAGTTTGGGTGTTCACATGAGCCGTAAAGGACAGAGTCAATGATTTGTCTTCTGGGTCTTTTCTTGTTTGAGGGAGCAACCCAGGAAACTGTGACTATCACAGTGATCCGGCTTTAGCAGGAAAACTTAACTCAAACTCAAAATATACAGTAAGTTCTCATTTTTTATTTTGGATAATTGTGAAAAATACATTTATTTTTAATCTTTGTCAAGCACCTGATAAAACATATTTATCCCACATTAGTTTTATCCCTATTTCAACTATTGTAAGGACACCCTGTCCTCACTGTGCAGCTCCTTCAGCGACAGGCTGCTGCACCCCCGCTGTCTCACGGAGAGATACCACAGGTCCTTCCTTCCTGCAGCGGTCAGATTCTACAACCAGCACAGCCCCTAGTAGACCTCCCCTCCGCTACACACACCACAACACAGACTATAACACCCCTTGCTGCTAAATACCAATCAACTATGTGCAATATGTGCTATATGTGCAATATATATATATGCCGTTTATAACTGTGTAATTTATACCTGGCTGCTAAATCCTTAGAACCGTTACAAGGTGTGTTTTTTGCATTTTGTATTTTGTATATTTTGTAAGTTGTGTAACTTGCTGCTGTTAAATACCGTCAAACTATGTGCAATATGTGCTATATGTGCAATATATACATTATTATATACATATGCCATTAATAACTGTAATATATACCTGGCTGCTAAATCCTAAGAACTGTTACAGGATTTGCATTTTGAAAAGTATTTGTTTTACTTTTATTTATTTTTTATTATATTTTATATTATATTACTTAGTACTTTTTTTAACGTAACAATAAGCTGTCTGTGGCTCTTTCCTGCTGTAACGATGCAAATGTCCCCTCTGTGGGGCTAATAAAGGTATTCTGATTCTGATTCATAATACAACAGTGCACAGATAATAATAATACTCACTTTTCATTTAATTAAAGTATTTTTTTTTTTAAATAAAGCTATTATTCTTTTGACTTGTAAATGACCTTTCTCCCAAATTCTTTAAATGTCATTTAGAAATCTTCATACTTCATTTTTTTAAGTTTCAAGGCTTTTATTGTCATGTGTGCACAGTGCATACAGTGTAGTTATGACAACGCAAATCTTAGGTCACAGGTTCCTCCAACAGTGCAACGCAATAAACAAGATACAATAGTACAAGTAAATAAAATAGAATATAATAGAAACAGAATATGATAGAAACTGTGCAGAATATTCTGTATACAGTAATTGGAATATTGATATATATGATATATGTGAGTTGCAAACGGATGAATGTTATGTATGCTCTTTCAAAAGTTCATTGTTAATCACTGGGACATTTCGATTCAAAGCAATTCAAAATCTATATTTTTGAATGTGGTGCAAAACAACAATAGAGAGTATTTACATACAAGTGTTTTTTGTAAATGTTTACATGGAAGTTAATCTAACAAATATTGGAAACAAAACATTAAAAGGCCCATTTCACTTTCCTTATGATGTCCTTATGCTTTTTATTAGTCTCCCTAGCAGCAATGATAGTCCAAATGAAACCTAAACAATCGCTGACAAAAAGCCAAAAGGGATTTAAAAGCTTTTTAATATTTTAGTCACATCTTGAATGAACCCAAAAGCCACAGGAAAAAGATAAACACATTTAAAAACTGTCAAAACTATAATGACAATACAGCTATGCGACAATATTGATTGAGGAGTATATAAAGCACGGAAAAAGTGAATCCCAAAGGATTTCGCTCGGTCCCTTGTGTAGCTTTTTATGTTACAGGCAAATTCATGTCATCCCAGCGGTACCACTGCACAGTTATTCTGGCACACAGAGAGCGATCAACTGGAACCACAGCTGCCCGACGCAAAAGAGTGTGACAGACGGATAGAAGACACCGTCTGCACCTCCAATGTGCTTTTATTATTTCAGCAGACCTTAGTGCAGTTACTGTTTAAAGTGATGAAGATTACCACAATACAAAAATAAAATCAACAACGATGACCATAATGATGATTATTATGAAGGCGATGACAGATTTGTTGAGTGGCTCGCTCAACTCTTTTCTTTCTTTCCCAGGACCTTGAAGGTCACGTTACTGTAAAACCTTTATAATGTTTGTGTTTCAGTCTAAGAAGGAAATGACTGAGGGAATGTAAAAGTTGCTGACCCTGAGAGAGAGAGAGAGGGAGAAAGGGAGAGCACAGGGGAGAACGGGTGAGAGTTAGATTTAGGAAGGAAGCTTGCGAGCTCTTGGAGAGGAAAGTTACCACGATGACGACTTGTGCGTTGGTCATCGGTGACACAGGTGGGCTCTGATGTCATTACAGAAAAGCTCCAAGTTTATTTATTGCGTGTTTTATACAGCAAACAATCAAAAATAAATATAAAGACATTAAGTGTATTATCATAGAGTGGAACAACATCAAACCCTCACATTTGAAAGCCAAAAGAAACAAATTATTGGCATTTTTCCCTGTGTTTCAAATTCAGAATAAAAGTACAAATGTGCGTTTTTATAATCCTGTTACAAAAACACATTATTAAAAAGGGATTCATAGCAAGTAATCAAGATGTAAAAAAAAACATTAATAGCACATTTAATTATATTTATTTTAGGGGATTCCCAAAGGACTCCTCTCGGCATTGTGTCTGTATGAACACTCACTCTGTCTGTGAAGAAGCCTGCGTACCATTGTCTCTTTATTATACTTACAGTGCCGTTTTCTTGGAACCAGACCAGATTTCTTCAAAGTCTGGGACTGACCAGTCTAGTGTGATGTCTGTGTGCGCGCACATGCATGTAGGTGTGTGTGTGTGTGTGTGTGTGTGTGTGTGTCTGTGTGTGTGTGTGTGTGTGTTGTAAAAAGTGTGTGCGTGGTATTGGTGGTGGAGGGGGGAGGAGGGGTGGTGGAGGTTCCTTATCTACAGGCCACAGGCTGCTTTGAGGCTCTTATCAGCAGCCGCCACATTGTACGAGCACATCCTCTTGTCCAGCAGGGAGCGGAAAACTCTCCTTGCAACATGGTTCCCTCTCTCCTCCCGCCCCCTCCCCTTCTCTCTCGGCCCCTCCTTACACTTGCCAGTCCAGTACCTGAGCTCTCCGACTGGCAACCAGCTTGAGCATTGTTTCTTCTGGGCAAAGAGAGTAAAGAGAGAAAGAGAGAGAGAGAGAGAGAGAGAGAGAGAGAGAGAGAGAGAGAGAGGGGGGGAATGACAGATGGACGGAGGGCGGCGGAGAACACCTCCACGATTTATGTTCAAACTTCACAACAAAGAAATATGAGCGTTTGGACGTTCCAAATCTGACTTGTGATTATTCGGGAAGTTTATACATATATAATTTTACATTTCAAAAAGAGCGATTCACATGAGGAGTGTTTTGACGGGTGTCAGACCGCTCTGACCTCAGGATCTGACGGACAGACAGTGACAGGCTGCAGTGTGAGCGACCTGAAGGAGGAGGGCGTTAAACGCTTAGACGATACAACATGTGCGTTCACAGATCACTTGAACGGATTTTGCATGACAGACAGACTTGATTTCATAATGTATGTGAGTACGTACTTTTTCTTACCCGTTTTTTATTTTTATTTTTTATTTCTGTTTTTATGTATTTTGTTATGCATGCATGGTTTGCAGACTTAACATTATTTTAAAGTGAATATATAATACAAATAACAAAATTGCATCTGATTGGAGTTGTACATGTGCCATATGTCATAAACAGAATTGTAGTAAAATTGTTTCTGTTGATAACCGGTAATAAAATAAGATTATTTATCATTTATTATAAATGTAATATTAGTCATGTCTGATGCTTTGTTACATTGCATTTTAGTGTAGCTGAATTATTTACAACCAATCTTAGTGGACATATAACAGCAGTAATTAAGCATTTGGCTTAAAAAAACTTCAAAATAATTTCTTTTTAAATAAAGATGATCTTTTTTAAATATTGCTGGATAATTCATATATTATTTGGCAACTTGTCTAGACATTTGAATGGACCAGATTACAGGCTTAACTAAATACCAATTGCTATATCGTGTATGATGTAACAAACACTTGTCATAATACTTTAATTAAAATGCATACATTAATTATTTCAAAAAAAGTGTGCGTCTCATTCTTTCTGCAGAAAAAGCCATCTGCAGCTGAAATCATTTAAATCTGTAACTTTCTGTATGGCTTCTCTAATGATTCTTCTACCATGACATTAAAAATACCGTTTCTGCAAAACAAGCTGACAAAACCTGCGAGTGGCATATGGACATCATTGTGAAAGACGGAACTGTTCAAAATAAAGTCATGACAACTAAAAAAGACAAAAGAGGAACACTTAAAATTGCAAAACCTGAGAAATCATTAGAGCGTTACGCTTCGCAGAGCAGAGTAAAAACAAACATCTCCCTTCTTGAAGAAGTAGAGAACTACTGTGCAATCACTTGATATCGTGGATTTGATCACCCATCACAGCTTTAGTTTGTGTTAAATCTTGTTATTCCATAAATCAAAACTACCGGTAGCTTTAAACTGTTGACTACAGAAACCAACACCAACAGATACTATCCTGACAGTTGTATGAAAGCTCTTTTAGTGCTCTTCTGCAAATGATGACCTTCAAGCACATTTTCAAATGCACCAAATATATATCCTGAGTGTGTTTTTCTTTTGTTTAACAGACTCTTTGATATCAATCCAATCTTTGGGGGTCTGGGACATTTTAAGGCTTAAAAGGATTTGGACTCACATCCTCAAAATACACTGACAGACAGATATAGGAACTCGTGCTGCTGGAGAGTCATTAAATACCTTGAATCTGCCGCTCAGGATTTACTGAGAAAATAATCCACTCCAATTCAGACCACATCAACCACCCCGGCTCGACGCTGCACCCAGAGACACTACCTCAGAAGAGTCCCTCCATTAAAAGGACTGAAGCATTTGCTTCAGTGGCTCCCTCTGTAATGTTAAAGTGAAGGCATTAATACAAGCTCACGTTTACTCACACACAGCCAGCAGGTGCATGAATGATGGGTAATAAGGCTGGGTGAGAGGGCAGCTTAAAGCGTAACAAAGACATATAAAGACACATAGGGGAGGTTTAAGGTCTCTGTAGGACAAGCTGCAGGTTGTACACATGATTATCACACATAAGATACACTGTGCTGAAAGGGATTCTTCCAGAGACTTCAGCACCATGATGGAGAAAATGAACCCCACCGGCCCACCGGCCTCACCGCCCGACCTGCCTCGCCGTTCCTCCTCTTCCTCATCCTCCGGCGCCTCCTCTCCATCCTGTGCCTCCGTAGAGCAGCACAGTCCCCTCCAGCAGACTTTAGCCCCCTCGAGTGCTAACAAGAACGGGCACAGGGGACACACGGATGTCCCCTCTTCCGGCTCCATTCACTCGCCCATTTCCACAACAACATTAACTAGTCGCCCTGCAGATACAGCTGCTGCACCTGAGCCCATCGTCATGGAGACCGAGGAGGAGGAGGAGGAGAAGCGACGAGGGCCAAAGAGCACCACAGCCCCTGTCATTTCGACAAACAGGTCTCCAACTCTGTCCTCCCCACCTCCACTTCTCCCGGCACCTTTCAAGACCTCCTCGGGCCCTCTACCAACTCCAACCTCCACCGTGTCCTCCCTTTCCTCCTCCTCATCCTCACCTCTCCCTCCACACATTCCAGTCATCAGCCTTGGTCACAGCAAACCCCCTCTCCCTCTCCCAAATACCCCTTTGACGGCCCTCCACCCGATTCCCAACCTCCTACATGGGCCACATGGGGACCTTCGCCGCAGTCAGCTGTCCTGTTCTTCTGGGGGCCCTTCACCCCCCTCCCCAGGGCCCCTGCTGCCTCAGCAGTACCTCTCTGCACACCCCTTCTTCGCCAGGTGAGAAATGGCTTATATAGATTAATCCATAAGAAACCATTTTGCTTAATGGAAATGTTTTTCAGGTGGTTTCATTTGAATCATTTTTGAGAATTAAAGAAGCAAAGCTTTCTTTAAGAAAAAAAAAAGGTGAAAAACAAGAACATCTACTTTTTTTTCATGTCTTTGTTAACAGTTAACATTCAGATTGTATCCTCTTCTTATATCCATCTCTCTGGAACCAAGGCTGGGAACCACAGCATTAGAAGATAGCACTGATATCAACATCCAAATGTAATAAGGAGAATGTGTATTAAATCATCTTGAAAGTGGAAATGTCAGTTTAATGACTAGCTGAATAATTCTCCTCCTATGCCTGAACTATGAAATATAGTTAAATGTAACTCAAAATCATGCAGTTTATTAAATAAAAGACTGTTTGCCTACTGCTAATTCACCTCCATTTTATCTAGCATGCAAACAGATGTGGAGCTCTTAACCATCAAATAAAATATACTTTCCTGAGATGTTACTCTGATACTGTTACTATGATGATGCTGCGTCGTAACAATTTTCTGTTTCATATGAAACCTCAACTGCCTGAATGTCATGACTTCCCATTGTGATTAATTGTGGCTTTGCTGCACAGTTATGCAAAGCTGACAGCAGGATGTGTGCTGTTATGAAGGGACCGAACATTTCTCACGCTTAACTTGCTCATCAGGATATTTGGTCAGTGAACAAAAGTTGCATCCTCGAACGTTTTTTGTGTCCATTTAGCGCCCAAATCTGAAAATACAATGCTTGGAGTTCTACATCTACATTTGCTGTAAGTCAATGTAGAAATTGAATCAACAAAAGACTAACTGAAGTTTTAGATTTCTTTATGGTCTCGTAACGTTGGCAATTCTTACCTTAGTCTCGTGAAAAAAAGGCATTCATTAGCAAACATTATCAAAGCCCTCCGACCATTAATCTTTTCACCGTTAAAAAACGATTTTCCTCAGTTTCATTCTGCAACAAAGGAGCATCAGTAATGTAGAAAGTGGGACTTTGTTCTACATCTAAGGTCTCACCATCTGTCATGGGGTCTGGGAATAAGATCCTCTCCTTACTTTTTCTCTTATCTGTTTGTAGCAAGAAGCATTGATCCATTTCCTCCCCCTGAAGTAGAATCAGCTAGTGACCATACTTAATGAGGCTGGGATAAGACTCTGCATGCACACTCAATCAACGCCACCAACATAATCACAGCGCAGTTAATGGCTTCCAACATCTTTTATATTTCTCTATCCTTTCTTTTAACGAGAAGGGACGCTGGATCGACTTCATATTGTAAACCTTTTCTATATTCAGTTGCACTTGGTAGTGAATGCAGTTACAACAATGTCACATGTTGCTGTGTTTTTATCTCTAGCTCTTACCTGGGTCCCTCAGGAGGAAATTATGGGGTCATCAATAACAGCCGGATCAAGCGAAGACCCTCGTCACACTATGAGGTGGAGATCAATGACTGTGAGTTTCTGTGTGACCAAAGAGAGAATCAGACATCAGTATTGATTCAGCCATAGTCTCTGTTTTTGAATCTATACATGTGTGAAATTGTATTGCTGCTCACATCATGGAGAAGGTTAATCACCAATGTATCTAAAAGAAAACGTTGCCGATATTCTGGATTTTCCTTGTTATCAACAAATCTTGTAAAAAAACAAACAATGGCAATAAGGTCCAGCCCCTCTTCTCTACTACTGAAGACAAGACAGTTGCACTTGTTTGGGGACTATTTTCAGCGGTCGAATAATTCACATTTGGTACAGTAGTTGGTTACAGGATATACATGATTGACTTAAAAATGACCAAAAGGCCTAAATTCATGGAAACAATTTAAGATCTTGCCGTGTGACATTTTGTCTTATCAATGTGTTTTTATAGTTTTTGGACAACTGAGATATATCAGGGTTTGGCTACACAATACTAAGTATTGTGTAGCCAAACCCTGATATATCTCAGTCTTGTTAGTAAGATATTTTCATTGTTAGTTTTGCAATTTCTGTTGTGATTTGTTGATAATAATAATAATAATAATAAGTATTAACTTCTGTTTATATCCTTTAAGGCCCTGCACACTCAGACAGTGATTATGTGTGTCTAACAGGCCCGCCCCAGAAGATGGCTCGCCGTGTCTTCACCAACAGCCGCGAGCGCTGGCGACAGCAGAACGTGAACGGGGCGTTCTCTGAGCTGAGGAAACTCATTCCCACACATCCGCCTGACAAGAAGCTCAGCAAGAATGAAATCCTGCGTCTGGCTGTGAAGTACATCAACTTCTTGGTCACTCTGCTCAACGACCAGGCGCAGGACAAGAGCAGAGACTCAACTGAGGATGAGGACGAGAGCACCGTGGCAGACCATAATAAACAGAACATCCTTTTTCAGTGCAACACCCCTCCTCCGTCCAACGACGCCCCGCCGCCCCGCCCCGGGACCGTCCACAGAGACAGAGACTCAACAGACTCAGTCATCGCCATGGTTAACTCCCCAGCTACATCCAGTTGCTATGGCGACACGGACAGTGAGGAAAGCTTTGGGGCTAAGACTTCTTTGGTGACCCATGGCATTCTGGGAAAGGTCAAGGGTCAGATAAGGATGGTGGCAGAGCCACAAACGATGAGCGGTGACACCAAAAGACAGCCAACAAAGAGGTGCGAATGTTAGACTGATGGACACAATCATCGTCGGACACAAAAAGGGTTTGAGGAGCAAGCGTGACTCTCATTAATCAGTGAAATAAGTGGGAGATGGATATTTTAAGACATTTTTGTTGTTTCAACTGCCTTTATGTCTTTTCCAGGGTTGTGCAAACATTGTGTAAGCTCTGTGTTTTGGGAAAATACTGCTGTGGGGCAGGTTGAGGGCCATGAAACATCAATGAGTATTTAAACAGACTTTAAAAGGTTTCATATCCAAATAAGGTCCCAATTTGTCAAACAATGAGGCTCCATACCATATATGAATTATGCAAAACACTGTGATGGAAATATATATTGTCTGATTTTAATTCCTACATGGTAACAAAAATAATAATCTTTTCTCAGATAAAGAATTTAGGTTGAAAACCAGATCTTTTGTTTTCTTAATCTAAATGCTGCCTTGGTAACATTTATATAATTAGCATTGCCCCAGTAGATTTAAAGTGACTTAAGAGTGCCACTACTCTTATGTGCCTGCAGAGAAGTGCATGCGAACAATGCAATAATTAACCAAATTTGCCGTTTTGGATGTTCCTGCTTTTCTTATTGTCGGAGATGGTTCCACCCCAAGATTGTGAAACACTTGTACCAGACAGAAATAAAGTGTGTTTTAGATAGCTGTTCCTTATTTGACATCCTCTTATTGCATTACAAAGACTGCTCTGTGTCAGCAAGATTTCTCAACATTACAATAATGTTTTTCCCATGTTTGTCAAAAGGTTTAGGGAACATTTGCGTATCCTCAAAGAGTTCAGCACAATTAAATCTCAGTTGCTATTGGGTTGGGTTCTGAAATAAACAAGTGTAAACGTGAATGCTCATTTTTAAACAATAACGTGTAATATTTGTCAGCACATGTTACACAATAAGGGCTGAATAGTCAGGGGCAAACTCCTTGTTTTTTTGTGCTTTTCACCATAATGACAGATTCATTACAGTACTTTCAACAATGTAGCCATAAAAAAAAGTTTTAAATGGTTTTACTATAGAGCCCTGAAAATAATAAAAAACACAATTCTTTAATTGTTGTCTTAAGGAGTTTTACATTTTAGATTAGTAGAATATACTAAGTACATTTGCCTATTTACATTCCACCATGTTTGACGTGTTTGTGCATCAGTGTGTGTGTGTGTGTGTGTGTGTGTGTGTGTGCAAGCAATAAAGTTGCAGAAGAATTTTGCAACAGCAACAATTGTAGGAGTGCGGTTCTGTGAGGAAGGTCAGTGTGGATGTGGGATGCGGTTGGAGATTGGGTTCAGCTTGGTGGTGGTGGTGGTAGTGTGGGGGGTTGCATAAGTTTGGGGGTGAGGTGCAGCTGTGCAGTGGCGCTCGGCTCAACCAAATGGCCCGGAAAGGCCTACAGTTAGTGCTGTCTCATTGACGGCCAACAAGTTTCCTGGAGGAGGGTTGGTGGCTGAGTTTGCGAGTGTGTCTGTTTTGATGGGTGTTGTACGTTTGGGGGGGCAAACATTGTATGGGAGAAGAAACACACACAAAAAAACAGCTACCAGGATGCTCTGGGAACCCCTGCACACCCGGTTTCAGGGCCACACAACAGGATGAGCTGCTTTCACAACGCTGCTACAGCTGCCTCTGCCCGTGCCAGGCTGGTCTGCCTCGTCCCGGTGCATTGTGAAACCACAGAGGATTTCAGAGTGAGGCAGGGGTCACACATTATAAAGGGGTACTGCCATATTCTGCAATTGCACACACTTGTTTTCTTTTTATCATGGTCTAATTATCTCGAGGATAAACCAACAATAAACTATTTAAATAAAATACATTTGTATCATCATGGCAGGAAATGCACAGGTTTGATAACATCAAAATGACTGCAATCCATTTAGTGGAGCCATGGTTGGTATTGTGGCTGCTGGCTGTCTGGCATTGCTTACTTGGACACCAATAAGTAGTGTTGTCACGTATTGCGCCGTATTGGAGCGTGTGTCGAGTCATCCCCGAAGCTTTTTGTGAAGCTTGTATCGAGCCTGCCCCTCAATACCACAGCTTCAGAAAGTGCTTTAGATCGGTTGAACCACAACGCTCATAATACCCATGGATGTATAGAACGATATTACCCTTCCTGTACCCGGGCCCGGTGACACGATGGAATTAAGTCGGAACATGTCATAATTATAAATAAATAAAAGCATAAATAAATGTAGGAATAAACACATGAATAAATAAATAAATGAATAAATACAGGAATAAATAGTAGTACTGTATAGTAATAGTATGTCTAGATCTCTGCTATGGAAAAAAAGAGTATTAAGGTCCGTAAAAAAAACGTTGCATCTGTATTCAATTAATGCTGAATTGTCTACTGGACATTTGTGATTCATCATAAACAAAAACCAATGTAGCCTACTGAGTAGCATTAGCTCAAGCTAGCTCGCAACACAAGCACATGCCTCCGTTTGTTTTATATCTCAAAATGTACAGAAGGATTACAACTTACCAGTTAAGTTAATTTATTGAGCTTTTCTCGTTTCCCCCCTTGTCCTCATGCAGGTGAGTTGTGGAACCTTGTGATTATAGGCCTTTTTCACAGCAAACATATCATTTGTCAAAGTAACAAAAAGGTGTTTCTAATCGCATTGAACCTGCTTAAACGGATTTTATGGGGCCACTTGGGGGCAGCAAAAACAAATTGTCAATATAACATTTATACATTACATATGAATATGGCGGATTTGATAACTAACTGTTTAATATTAAGCTTATTCCAGCAGGTACAGAGCATCATAAACATTAATCTGTCATGAGTCCTGTTTCTGAACACATTTTAAGTTGGCTAATATAATATTCATTTGTTTACTTCCTTGTGGTCTCCACCAATGTATCTATCACTAAATTCTCCATTATGTATTGTTTCTAACTGTACATATTTGGACTTAAATGCATAAGCGTACACTGGATTTCCAAAGTTTGAAAAAGAAAACTAAACAGCTGTTTGCGTTAAATCTGCAGTGCACACAGAGTTTGTATCTTTATGGTTTATTGCACTTATTTTAAGTCGCTTTTGGTAAAAGCATGAGCCAAATTTAAATGTCCTTCCTCCACCCCTCCGTTGTGCCCCTCTTGATACACCCACTTGCACACAGAAAGCAGTAATACTTAGCGCAGTGTTAGGAGGAGAGAGTTATGAAACCGTATACAAAAACTTGTTAAATGCCTTACATAAATACGTTTAAAATTCACCTTCATTTTTCTACTTGCATTTAAGATTTGAGCAATATTAAACAAAAAATAAAGACAGAGTTCAAGTTAAATCATTTTAAAGTTTATTCTTTCACATATCGACAAAGCATGCCAGAAAAGCACCTAAATACTTGTCATGCGCACTAACATTATCATTTTAGCACTGTTAGCAGTTATTTATGTCCAAATCATTTATAATGCTAGAACATCATTTAGTGTGAGTCACATTTACCCTTTAAAGAAAAGTCACATTAATCTTCATTCATTAAGTGCTGGAATGAAACTCAAGCTTAATATATATTTTTCATTTGTTACATGTTATATATACACAAGGATCCATTCAGCCTTCATTCAGTTTTCAATACTTTCTCTCCTTGTTTTACCAGAGAATCTAAGCTGTTGTTCACTGTTCTCTTCGCATTTTGTGCAGCTTCATCTGTCTTTTCTAACGTGCTTTTATTGCCAAATTTTCGTCTGACCGCCTCACTAACCCCAGCTCCAGCTGCTGCCCCGACAGCTCCGCCAATAACACGCCCCAAAAACACGCCGAGCACCAGACCCAGCAATGCGCCCACTATGACTATCACAGGCACCTGTTTAGCAGTTTTCCCAATTTTCTCCCATACTGAGCTCTCTGCCACCATTTTGACGCCGGCTTTCGCCCCAGAGCCCACCTTCCCCCACACTGGACTCTGTGCCACCTTCTTTGCACCGACACCGATTCGAGCTCCAACTAGCGCCGAGCTTTCAGCCATCAGTTTAGCTCCAGTTTTAGCCCCAGATCCTACTTTTCCCCACATCGGACTCTTTGCCAAACTTTTTGCCCCGGTTCCAATCCCACTCCCCATTTGTTTGGCCCCTGCACCAGCTTTCTCCCACATTGGACTAGCTGCTGCTGCTTTTGCTCCAGATCCCACCCATGCAGAACCGTCCACCATTACCTTGGGAACTCTATCTCCTACAAGCTTGGACACATGTCCAGCACCAGCTCCTACCTTCTCCCACACAGAGCTATCAGCCACCATCTTCTGGACATTTCGTGCTCTGGTGCCGACTGTCCCCCACGCGGGACTAGCTTTCACCTTCTTTGCTCCCTCACCGACCCACACAGAGCTATCTGCAAACAGTTTGGGTAACAGCTTTGCATTAGACCCCATTGTTTCCATAATGGAGTTGAAGAGTGAAGGGGAGATGGTGGAAAGCGTGATAGGAGGAAGGCTCTCAATATTCATTGAGCTCACATTTAACTCTGCCTCATCCCTTGTTTTCTCAATCTCATCCTCTCTTACTTCTTCATCTGCCTCGGCCAAAGGCTGCATGTAGGAATAAAGCGCCCGCCCTTCAGAGTTCAGCTGTCCTTCTGGCTCTAGTTTTCCCCTCCTTCTCTCCTTTGCTAATTCAACCTGTCGCTCCCTCACTCTGTTCTCCGCCTCCTGAAAAGCAGGATGGGAATAGCACTGTCCTCCACTTTCCCTGACTGTCTGCTCCACCTTCTCCAGCAGCTCTGCAACATTTCTGCTGTCCCTCCCACCTCCTCCCGTCTCCATCACGTGAAACCTGTCCCCGCATTTCTCCACAAGCTTCAACAAATCCCCCCGCTGACCAGCGATGTATGCCTCGACGCTGCTATTTCCTGCCTTCCCGCTCTCCTTCAGTTTATCTGCGTAAGTAAAGAGAAGCACAGTGTGTCTCTGGATGGCGTCTGGGCCGAAAACATTCTCGAGGGCCTCGATAGCCTTCAGCTCGGTCTTTGCAGGCTGGTCTAAGGGGACACACAGCAGGAAGGCATGGGGACCGGGACTGGACAAAGCAACACAGGAGGAGATCTGTGCTCGCACCTCATCTGGACTCTGCTCTGAGTTGAACCAGTCTGGGGTGTCCACCAGCGCCACCTGCAGGGGAGAGGAGAGAGTTGGAAATAAGCCCAATTACATGTTTTGAATGAAACAAAATAGAAAGTGTCAAAGGTTAGATTTGGGGGCAATGCCACATGGATGGGATGAGTGATGGGAACATTAAAACATTCAAGCAAATCTTCTCAATCTTAATAACTAACCTGTCTTCCTTCAACCAGTGCCTTCTTTTTCTCACACTGCTGAGTGATTGCTGTGAGGCTTTCGGGGCGTGACTCAAACTCCTGCCTCCCCAGTATTTTGTTGCCAGCTGCACTCTTCCCGGCTCCAGATCGCCCGAGCAGCACCAGACGCAGCTCTCGAGAGGATGAGGAGGATGAGGAGGATGAGGAGGAGGATGAGGAGGGCAATGAGGTGGGAGAGGAGGCAAAGGTTGGTGAGGAGGGGGGAGAGGCGAAGACTGATGCAGGAGTAGAGGTCGGGGATTCCTCAGGAGATCTTTCTTCAAAGCTGTTAATCCTTTGGTGAACTGAAAACATTCAGATTACATTTGGAGTTAAATATGGTTGGTTAAAATTACAATAATTATTTTAATATCCAACATCATAGGAGTGCAGTTTTAAGTGACATAATGCGACACAGTGAGGTCTTGTCACTCACAAGTAGTGACCACTTTCGGAGTTGATTTAATCTCAGACACTTGTGAGAGTATAGCTCCATCTACAGAGGAAAAACAGTAAATATGAGTCCTTTTCGTGCTCACATCCTTTTTTCTTCCTCTTTTTCTTTAACATGATTTCGATATGTCCTGTAGAAAATCTGTGGGAATAAAAATGTATACATTTACCTGCATTTAGTCTGAAACTGGGCGTCCTCCTCGCCTGTCTGTCATCCTGCGGCTCTGAATATGGCTGGTGCTCTGGTGCTGGAGTTGAATGAAGCCCGTTAGACCTTTGGCTCACAGTCACACTTCTGTTATTCTCATCCCTCTCTTCTCTCCTCCTGCTCTCCAAGGCGATGCTGTGCTCCTCTCCTCGGTCGACACTCCTCCGAGTTTCTGTGTTTGGGCTCTGCGGTGAAGCGACGGTCTCTCTTCTCTCCTCCCTTTGAGCTCTGTAACTTTCCACAAGTTCTGGCTTTCTGTCTTGCACTCGTTTCTCCATCTCGCTCTCCTGGTCTGTTTTCATGTAGTATACCCCATTTTTTGTCACAATTTGTTCCACCTGTTACATAAACAAATTGGCAATACATTTAGAAAATGTCCACAAACTCACAGTTAATACTCACATTACAGAGTTACATTTTATAATTCTCACAGTTTAATACATTGTGCAATTAATTCCCATGTCTGTCAAAGTTACGACATAGTCAGCCTTATTATTAGTACTGTCTCGACTACACCTCGGTGTGAAAGTATGAGAGTGTGAAACAGGGCGTTGCTGGGAAAACCATGCAGGCACAGACAGTCCCTTCTCCGTCAACACAAATAAAACAAAGAGCTTTACCACGTGCAGTATGCAAAAAACTGAATTTCCCTCTGGAGATTTAAAATAGAAAAAATGTGTTGCACCTCATTTCAAGGGTTTTCTAATACACTCAAACTAGACTTGTGAGGCTAAAAATGGTAAGAAAACTACCATAGTCAGTATAAATACAGACGTATTTGATTTCTATAATATGTGGCTGTTCCTGTATTAGTGCTGGGAAAACAACATGTTTGGAAGTTAACTGAAAGGGTGTGAATCTCTATTCTTGATGTTGTTTTGTTAAATCGTATCTCTGTGACGTCTCACCTTCTCCAGCAACTCGCAGACCTGCTCCCTGTCCTGTCGCTTACGATTATTGATGACATGGTACCTCCCCCCACAGTCCTCGATTATCTGCCTGAGGCCTGGGTGTTCTTTCTGCAGGTATTCCTGTAAACAAATTAAGATTTGCAATAGGTAGATGAATCCACGTTGTACACAGTGAAGGGTGAGGATCTACTGCAAGGATGTCTAAAGGAGAGGCAGAAGTTCCAGCTGTTCTAAGTATTTAAACAAAAACATGTGTCATCATTTTAAATGTGTTTACAAAAGCTTCCCTGAAAAGTTTAGAGGGATTATTTTGTTCCTCTTTAACAAGACTGGCAACCTCATTAAAAAATGTCCAGGTGCAAACATGTATACGTGTTTTAAAAATACCAAAAGGAATAAGACTTGAAAAGTATATATCAACACACCACAGAGCAGTGGTGATAGAAGTACTCAGATATCTAACTTAAAAACAAGTAGTAATACCAACATATAAAAATACTCTGAAAGCGCAGCATTTAAAATGTTACTTAAAAGTAGAAATGACTTGAAGAATTAAAAGAGGTCCCATTTGAGAAAAATGTATATTATTATCACTGATTATTGTTCATTCGTTACTGTAATGTTGAATTGCTATAAGTAACATTAATACTAAATTAAATAAAGTGAACAACTCAAATACCTGCTCTGTTTTCCCCATCAAGTAGTCCCCACAGGTCAGCAGGACCAGAGTGTGTTCCATCACCTCTGCCCCAAACAACTCTTTCAGCTCTGCAGGCACATGACTCTCCATCTGGGAACAGACATAAACATAAACATAAACAAGCATGTCTTTTACTTTTAAAACTACCAAAAAGATGACATTGATAACTGCATTGCTAATGAGAAAGTGAAAGCACAGAGACAACCAACCTCTGTGAACTGGTGAACCGGCACCAGCAGCAGAAAAGCATGCGGGCCGGATGCTAACAGCGACATCGCTCTGGCCGTCTCCTGCCTGACGCTCTCCTCCATCTTTCCGCCGTTCCAGTACCATCTCGGCGCCTCCACCAGAGTCACAGTCCTGCCCTCAGACGTGCCTTGCCGCACCTGGCAGGTCCGCGAGGCACTGGGCAAGATGTGGGACAGCTGACCCAGGATGGTGTCAGCTGAAGACGTCTTTCCACATCCAATGTTTCCCAATAGAACAAGTCTCAGCTCTGGGGAAGAGGACATGTAGCTTCTTCTCAAGTGTTCACTCATGGCTGGAAAAAGAGAGGAGAAGAGGTCAAATGTGCCATATCCATGTAATTCTGTATCAAAGAGTACTGTTAGTATTTGGTACAAAGCTACAATCCTATAGCAAAGGTGTTTTGTGGTAGTGTGTGTTCACAAATGTTGCTTTTGTCTTTTTTCTAAAGAGGAAACCATATGCAAATAAAACAAAAAAAAAAGAAGAAAAAACATAATCAGACAGGTTGGGTAGGATGTAGATCATCTGATCTGGCATCCAATGTGGACGGGATGAGTCACTGTTCTAAGTTTCCTTGAAGCATCACATTTCTCTCTTACATATTTACTCATGCTCTCCTGTTGCTCATGAATTATCAGGAACAAGGAAAGTTAATAAAAGTTGGGTTTTTTTTAAATCAAGCTTTCATTTCACTGTTTTTCTTTTCCAAATTGCATTCCTTTTTAGCTTAGATACACCACACCTTGCCAATCCTGTCAAACTACATTCTACCTGGACCTTTATATGTGGACTGAGAAGCAAATACAAATCATATCAGCTTACACACACAATAATGAGGATTGCACTGTAAACCATGGAAACTTCACTATGACAACACATTAATGCAGTATAATATCAACAGCACTGTACATATTAAGCACTAAATTCAAACTTGTAATTCAACTTATAGTGAAGGTAAACAGCGTAAAAAGCTGTTTGTCTATTCAAACACTGACAGCCATTAGCATAATCACTAATAATCTATATTTTGCTATTTCAGTTTAAGCTTTTAATATTCATAAAACTAGTAGTCAGTTTAGTGAACAGATGTATTATTTAAACAATAACAAACATACTTACTCAATCGTCTGAGGAGATTCAAGCTGTGTTCATGTATCGTCTGCTCTGTGAGCTCCGTTTGTTCAGTATCGTCACTGAATAATGTCTCCCATCCATACAGATTCAGAACATGTCGACATCAATCTGCCTACGCAGGTGAAATGTGCAGTCTCTGGGAGGGACCTGTCTGACCACTCCCAATTTTTAACACATGCACACATGAACACACTCATAAGTATATTTTCTTCATGTACAACAGGTTTCTTTGTCTGCAGGCGGCTTAGCATACCAAGTTGGGGCGGAGGATATGTGAATCATTCTACCTTAGTTTTATCTGCCTATGTATCGGCATGTCCTTCAGGTGTTACAGTCGTCAAGGTAAATACCTGCTAAAATATGCCTGTACATATTATGAGATGCTGCTGTTGTCAGGACTGAGGCATGTCACAGGCAAACATGAGAAGTTGACAATGCATTAAAGTCAGAGTAAATCAACAAGTAACTCAGTGTGCTTGTCTAAGGTGTCATTATAGATAGATCTCACCGAAATAGGACTTTGTAGCCTCAAGCTTTAAGCTGTGACTTTTGTATTAAATATATTTTAAGATCAAAGGTGTTGAATTATCCCTGAGATGCATAAGTGGGTCTTTTTGGACCCGGTGAGGTGATTTCCTTGAAGTATCTTTGTAATTACATTTTTTTTATCATTACTGTACATATTCCAGCTATTCCTCAAAAAACATGTTTTGGAGATCGTGCCATTCGCATTTTAAATTTTAAGAAATTGTAGTTTTTGTATTACTACCCCAAGCTTCCATAAGTGGGTCAAAAATGACACGCATGCATTTTCTATGAAATCCTATGGGAACCTTTGATTCTTATCACCTGTTGCTGTCAGGAATACATTCCCTGTAGACCACACAGACTACATCACAAGTGACACCTGTCAGGAAGATTATTTTACACAGCAAGATCTGATACCTGTCAGTATAATAATAATAATAATAATAATACATTACATTTGTATAGGGCTTTTCAAGGACTCAAAATCGCTTTACAATATAAAGGGAAGGTTAGGGTGGGGGGTAGGACTATCAAACTTGATCAACCGGCATGGATTGATGGGGGTGGGATATGAGTAGACAAGAGGAGAAGAGACGACTATGAGTAGACAAGAGGAGAAGAGATGAGTTTTGAAAAGGGACTGGAATATACTGCGAGGGTCTCATAATAGCGGAGATCTTTGGGACAATATGTTCAAAACGTTTTTTTCCAAATGTAATTTTTTTTTTCTAAAATTGTGAAAAATTAAATATAAAATATAAAATATTTCTAATGTGAACCAAAATATAATACTAAATGTTACAAAAATGGCCTAAAAACACATTATTCTAATACGGGTCCTTATAGACCCACTTATGGAAGAGTGTAGGGTCCAGTCACTCGTGCATCTAAGGGTTATTACACGTTTTAGAGACTGATAGACCCAATTATAAAACTGTCTTACAATAACATTTTCATATGCCATTACTTTAACACCACTGTTCAATTAAAAAACAATGACATCAATCTCTAGGCACATACTGCATTTAGTTTGTGATTTGTTATTTTGGAATGTTGCAGTATGCAAAGTTTTGGTGAACATTTCGCACTTTTATATTTGAGTAAATCATTAACAACATTTAACAGAATGTATAGTCAACCTATGTGGCGCCTGATCAACTGATTTGAATTATGTGTCAAAAGGCTGCTTGTATGAAAAATAAAACATTCAAAATATTATCTTCATACACATCTTTTAATTGAACAAACAAAGTTAGTTTGCATATTCATAATGAAAAGAACAATTGTTTAACACTGAAAACAAATAGTCTTTATAACAAAATAGATTTTAGGCTTAGCCCACTGAGTGTAATAGCATATTAGAACATGCTGCCATAGTTTGTTCTTCATTGTCCCTCACAACCCGGGCATCAAATAGGCAATGTTTTCCAGAGTAGAAGCCTTAGAAAAAATAATGAAAACCAATGTCTCATTTTCACTCATGTATATAAATATAGTGTACAGTATGTGGTGTGTGTGCACTGTTAAGGGGCTGCATCTCTCACCAGTGTGTGCTGGGTGCAGCTCCTCAGCTCCGGTATCTGTGCGCTGAGGCAAATCAGAGGAGCCAGGGCACACAGCAGAGAGTCCAAGAGCAGAGACAAGCTACTCGACATGCTCACCAATTTCTACAGAGAGATAAAGAAAAACAATTATGATCCTTTGATGCAGCTTTGTGAAACCTACCCTTTGTGATTTTGTAGTCCGTTTATGTGTGAACAAATTAATGACACACACACACTAGAGAATCATGTTTGTTACAAAAATAAAATTCTAAGATTGCATTCTCTCTTCTCAACTTTATTTATATAATATTTATTTTTAGAAACCACAATAACAGAAACAAAGATATTCAGAGACTGCTCAAACTATAAATATATGTAATTTCATTTTGGCCTGCAGCTTACGTTTTTCTATTGTATGTAGATTAAATGTTGTATAAATGAACAACTAGAATGCATGTGCAACACAAACTATTTTGTTATAATGTACTCAAGTTAAAAAGGAACTTGTGGGACTCACAACCCATCAGTATTATTTTAATATTTTGGTACATGTTTCTGCTCCAGCAAACATATGGTCACACATGTTTGTAACAACAACATAACCAAGTGAAAGTGAGTTGTATCCACTAATCTTTGCTGCTTGTAGAACATGCAACACAGTAGGTGCATGAGGCAGCACTTCAATAATGTTAAATCACTCTATAAAAGCATCCCAGACCAGGATTTAATAGAAAAATATGTTTTTTCTAAACGGAATCTACTCACATTTGTCTCCTGAAGATGGAGTCCAATCAGGGACAAGGACTCTCCCAACAGGTGTAGGTGAGCTGCAGCGCTGACAGGATCCTGGTCCGAGCAGCCAGGGCTCCTGGAAGTGGATCTGAGAGAGTCCCAGGCTGAACTGGTAGGACTGCACATGGAACTGCTGGGACTACAGGTGTCAGTAACGGGGCTGGAAACCATGGGATTAACAACGGAGCTCACTTTAGGAGCGATGGCTGTCACTGGACTGAGAGCAGATATGACGGGGTGAGGCCTGTGGGTTACTGGAGCGATTGTCCTGCTTACAGGACAGAGCGCCCTGTGGTGCTGATTATCTGGGTACACCCAGTACTCCAACAGGGAGATGGGACTTGCCTGGGAGAAACAGAAACTTAGAAATAAACATAAAGGATAATGACATGATCAACACTGCCCTCTGCTGTGCAGCATGAATGCAACAACTTGGATATTCTGGAATAGAAACAAATTGTGAAATGTATTTAATGTCATCTGTTCTCTCACCTCTTCTCCTCTTTTTTCCCAGCAGTCTCCTGACATACAGACTGGATAAGTAGGGAGGAAGCCTGAGGGATCTGCTTCAAGAAGTTCAGGCTCAACTCTACTATTACCTGCAATATGTCAAGTATTTATGCAATAAGATTTTACCATGATCATCTGATAGGAAAAAGTGTTTTAAGTCTAAATCTGCTCACCATTTACCACTTAAACATACTGTATCATAGAGTTAACACAGAAATACTCTCTTTTGAAATCAACACAGTTGACACAAGGGCAATGCACAAAGCACCTTACCAGAGTGTTTGCATATCTTGTTTATCAAGCCTCCTGGTTCCTGTAGAAGTTGAATAATTAAGCTATCACACAAGAAGAATGAATAAATAGGCATAACATACAGAAATAAAAAAGGGATAACTTTGTAATCATTCATATATTTAATTAATTTTGTGCATTATGAAAGATAACCGTTTGAAAGTGTGTACAAAAAAGCATTAAAACAAGCAGCCACAAAGAGAGAACAGTTCAGAGTTAAAAATTAAGGACAAATCTTGGACATTGCATTCAAACAAAGCAAGAACTATAGGCTATTGATGCAAACGCATGAGACTGTTTCAGAATATATTACAGGCACTATTTGTCACATCCCTAAATCATAACATAGCATACATTTTTTTAAACTTTCTTCTAACTACCAACCAACCCCCAGAGTTTACCTCGTGAAGCTTCTTGTTGCTTGATTCCTCAAAATCCAAATATGGGTCCTCCATTTCCTCCACATCAATCTTCAAGTCTTTGTAGGATCTTTTATCCGCTCTCTGGCTGCCTCCACTCATTGGGCTTGCCTCTCCCTCCATCTGCACAGACATGAGAGGGAACAGCAGTGTACAAGAGCAGTAATATTAAAGTTTAGTTGGGTCTCCAGTTGTGATTGAAAGAAGAATTAAGTGTTACTTGAAAAATAATTAACTCAGTAAAATAAGTGTTTTTTTGCTAAAAGAAGGACACTGCACTTGGCAAGTGAATGAATCATTAACATTAAGCTATATTCATGTGACTTGATAAGTGTATGGCAGTGGTGTAAAGTAACTAAGTAAATGTACTCAAGTAATGTTATTAAGTACAATTTCGAGATACTAGTATACTTGAGAGTATATGAATATTTTTGCTACTTCGTTCTTCTACCCACTACAATTCAGAGGTAAATAGTGTACTTTTACGCCACCATTCTTTTTTTACCTTAGGTTTCTTTGCAGATGTGGATTAATGATATGAAAATTTGTTTTAAAAAAAAACAAGACTTCACTTACACCTTGAATAAATCCACAAGCTACCCTATACAAAGTCATTAAAACTACCTGCACATTTACTAGCTGTGATAAAAGCATTATTGCATCAATAATTATAATCCAAACATATAATTATATGTAATTATAAAATTGACCAATCAGCATAATAACTACTTTTACCGTTGGTACTTTAATTATATTTTAATGTTAAAGAGTTTGTTCTTTTACTCAAGTATGATTTTGAATGCAGGACTGTTGCTAGTGACAGAGAATTCCTACACTCTGGTTTTTCTACTTTTCAAGTACAAGTACAAGATATGAGTACTTCTTCCACCTCTGATCTATAGTCATGCCATGAGCAAAGTAGAGGAGAATGGCTGCTACTGATTTGTGGTACCACGGAGTTGCTAGTGTAGAAAACAAGCAACAATAACTTTTGAAGTCACGGGTCTGCTCCGACCCAAATATCACTA